TACTGTTCCAATTTTAGTACTACAGTGGCAGTGGGGAGGAATCCATTCATCTTTTCATCCTTTTCGCAATATTTTAAATCGTTGTTCTCTGACCCACAAAATAGTTCACACTGCCGTGCACAGAGTATTTTTAACTATTACAGAGCGTCAACCTTTTAATTCTTCTTTTAAGTCCCTTTGTCATCTTTTGCTTTTGCTTGTGAAGTGCCTCCAAATGTGGTCCTTGTAAATGAGCACGCAAGAGGAATGTGTCCCGATGTGTGTCCACTTGTACCATCACACCCCCAAGTAAGCCCTGTGAACCTCGCCAGTGCCTTCGTTAACAAGGCACAGCTGGATATGCTCTGCGTATCCAGAACATAGATCAACTTCCATTTTCCCCCAGCATCAAGTAACTAAATAGATTACAGCGGCAATAGGCAAGAGCGAGTTTGTGAGTCAGTGTGTTATCTTTAGCTGCCCGGGTGCTTTATCAGGTCGAGTTGGAAAAGGGGTGGAGGGAGCCGAAGCAAGACTCAGACCTGCAGAAACAGACCTTAAGAAAAGCAGTAGTAGAGAAGTAACAGTAACCGCTGCTCTATGAGTGAGTGCTGTGCCCTCTAACGAGATTTACCACCATGACGATACAGATCAATGCATTAACTGCATTAAATCTAGGGCAGGTAATGGATTTTAGAATCCTTTTTTTTGTTATATTTGCTGGCTGGAATTCTCTTAACATCACTAAAGCAATTATTAAATGAAATGCTCCGACGAAAAAAAAATCATGCATCTGTAAATCCTTTCATTCGGCCCAATGAAATGATTGGACGACCTACCTGCGTCTCTACATACCTACCTGTCTGCCTGCAGGCCCTCTGCCTATGTACTTACTGCGCGTCTTCTACAAGCTGCTATAGCTTGACGGCTGTGAGCGGCACGGTTAGCTTCTAGCCGCTGGCTCAGCAGTCGCCATGTTGAGAGCTGTGTGGAGGCAATAGATATTAGGAAACAGGATGGACTCTCGTTGGAGCTGACGTGATTCAATTTCAATTTTATTTGTATAGCCCTAAATCACAAATCTACAATCTCTACATCATACAAAACATCAGATAAAGAAAAAGTGACGTTAGCACAATCACAGCTCGCATGTTGTCTGTTCTTTTGATCATACATAATAAATACATACATCGTGTCCACGTTATTCCCAATGTATGAATAGTTCATTGTGAGTATTGTTGTGCTTGGTTGGCAGCAAGATTTAACATATTTATTCTTCTTAAAAGGGCCTTTATTGCAGGACATCTTGGCTTCTTTTTTTCACTTGTTAAAATTGCAAAGGGTGTACACTTCTATGGCCTTTCCATCTGTTCATATTACCTACTGGATACATTGCACGCTTAGGAATGTCCACAAAACATATACAGTGGGTACGGAAAGTATTCAGACCCCTTTAAATTTTTCACTGTTTCATTGCAGCCATTTGCTAAAATCCAAAAAGTTCATTTTATTTCTCATTAATGTACACTCAGCACCCCATCTTGACAGAAAAAAACAGAAATGTAGAAATTTTTGCAAATTTATTGAAAAAGAAAAACTGAAATATCACATGGTCACAAGTATTCAGACCCTTTGCTCAGTATTGAGTAGAAGCACCCTTTTGAGCTAGTACAGCCAGTCTTCTTGGGAATGACACAACAAGTTTTTCACACCTGGATTTGGGGATCCTCTGCCATTCTTCCTTGCAGATCCTCTCCAGTTCCGTCAGGTTGGATGGTGAACGTTGGTGGACAGCCATTTTCAGGTCTCTCCAGAGATGCTCAATTGGGTTTAGGTCAGGGCTCTGGCTGGGCCAGTCAAGAATGGTCACAGAGTTGTTCCGAAGCCACTCCTTTGTTATTTTAGCTGTGTGCTTAGGGTCATTGTTGGAAGGTGAACCTTCGGCCCAGTCTGAGGTCCAGAGCACTCTGGAAGAGGTTTTATTCCAGGATATCTCTGTACTTGGCCGCATTCATCTTTCCTTCAATTGCAACCAGTCGTCCTGTCCCTGCAGCTGAAAAACACCCCCATAGCATGATGCTGCCACCACCATGTTTCACTGTTGGGATTGTATTGGGCAGGTGATGAGCAGTGCCTGGTTTTCTCCACACACACACCGCTTAGAATTAACACCAAAAAGTTCAATCTTGGTCTCATCAGACCAGAGAATCTTATTTCTCATAGTCTGGGAGTCCTTCATGTGTTTTTTGGCAAACTCTATGCGGGCTTTCATATGTCTTGCACTGAGGAGAGGCTTCCGTCGGGCCACCCTGCCATAAAGCCCCGACTGGTGGAGGGCTGCAGTGATAGTTGACTTTGTGGAACTTTCTCCCATCTCCCTCCTGCATCTCTGGAGCTCAGCCAGTGTGATCTTTGGGTTCTTCTTTACCTCTCTCACCAAGGCTCTTCTTCCACGATTGCTCAGTTTGGCTGGACGGCCAGGTCTAGAAAGAGTTCTGGTCGTCCCAAACTTCTTCCATTTAAGGATTATGGAGGCCACTGTGCTCTTAGGAACCTTGAGTGCTGCAGAAATTCTTTTGTAACCTTGGCCAGATCTGTGCCTTGCCACAATTCTGTCTCTGAGCTCCTTGGGCAGTTCCTTCGACCTCATGATTCTCATTTGCTCTGACATGCACTGTGAGCTGTAAGGTCTTATATAGACAGGTGTGTGCCTTTCCTAAACAAGTCCAATCAGTTTAATTAAACACAGCTGGACTCCAATGAAGGAGTAGAACCATCTCAAGGAGGATCAGAAGAAATGGACAGCATGTGAGTTAAATATGAGTGTCACAGCAAAGGGTCTGAATACTTATGACCATGTGATATTTCAGTTTTTCCTTTTTAATAAATTTGCAAAAATTTCTACATTTCTGTTTTTCTGTCAAGATGGGGTGCTGAGTGTACATTAATGAGAAATAAAATGAACTTTTTTGATTTTAGCAAATGGCTGCAATGAAACAAAGAGTGAAAAATTTAAAGGGGTCTGAATACTTTCCGTACCCACTGTAGCTCTGCTTTTTTGCCGGTCATGCCCCTGTGCGTCACGCTAAATGTTTTCTACTTTCTACTTTCATCGATCAAATTAGCGCTGATGTGACATCTTAAGAGGAAACCATCACAGCAGACACAACAGGCATTAGCCTAATAGGCACAGGGCTTGGTGCTTTCATAAGACACACTTTCATATGCATAAAACTGCTCTCTAAGAGTAAGGCACAGCCTCACACCATTGATGTACCCAAGACAGTCTCCGACAACTCTCTATATGATGTGTGGAGATAAAAGGCGTCTTTTCTGTAGGTGGAGACAGGAGACAGAGCTGGGAAGTAGAGCGTCTCAGATTAATGAGAAGGTGGCATACTCAAACAGTTTCAAGTTCCCTTTTTCAGTGAGTTTGTTCCACTCTTTATCGCAATTTTTTTTTCATTTTCTGTTTTACTTTGTGCTGTCTATGCTGAATCACAGCAGGGGTGGGATAACATTGCTCTTCTGTGTCTCTCCATAACTGCAAAAATTACACAAATAGTTGTAAATTTTTGAGAGGTTTCTGTCGAACACGGCTCAACTCTAAATATATTTTTCACCCGGGAGACGAGGCATTAAAGCTGCTTGTTTCCTAGTGAAGCTCTGCAAGAAGAAGATGTCTCTTCTTAACTGGTTGCATTGCTTTACTTCTGACATCAGTGCAGCTGTCTGACATCAGGCAGTCTCTGACATTTCCTCAAACTTTTTTTGTATTCTTCCCTCACTTCTTCCGAGTGCCCTATTTACATCCCGCTTTATTCAGCAACCCCTTCAATAAACCAAATTCCTATCAAATTGGTTCCAAAATTAGAATTGTAATGTTCAGCCTGGGATAGGCAACACATTCTCACACCGATGTGTCAATTAACGCAGCTTGGTCAGTGGTACTCAGCTAAAGACTATGACGCGATAAATTCTACTGTAGCGTCATTTTGCACGTCTCAGTGTCGGTGTGTCGATATACTCTCGATAGTATCTTTTCAAAATAAACTTTAGTGTCACAGCTCCGCCCCTTCTCTCCTGTCACTCTATCTCTCACTCACCTAATCAGCTCTTTCAGTGCACCTGTTAGTCACACCCACCTCATCAGCTCAACCACTCTCACCTGCTCACTCTGCTGCACCTATTTAGACCCCAGTCTCACGCACACACTCACTGACAGATAAAAATGACAAACTCAGAAAGATTATGCTGGCAAAACTGTTTTTCACCTGTTCTTAAGCCATAAATATAATATTGATCAAATTTAGAAAATGGATAACTACTTTTTTTTTTTTTGTTGTTTGACTTTCAGGGCTTCTGTAGGTTTCAGACGCTGTGAGCAGATGCCTTTTTGACACTCAAAAAAACTTTCAAGTTTTAATCCTCACCCCGGGGGAGATATTGTCTGTTTTGAGGGAAAAGCACACAACTGTTATGAAATTCTTCGAGATGTTTCGGGCGTTTTTCATCTTTTGTCTTTGCCCTTTCATTGAGTTCAAAAGCTGTGAGGCTTCAAGCAGCAACAATGCTTGGAGAACTTAAAGGAGTGGCTCTGCTTTCATATTGACTTAAAAGTAGCTGTCCCTGGAGTTGCTGGAGATATGAAAATGAATGTATATGAGATCTTTTGTGTTCATGTGCCCACCATCGTCCCAAAACTCAAACCCCCTTTTCTTTTATCCTGTGGAGCAACTTTCAGAAAAGTGGGAACTGGAGTGAGTTGCGCTGTGGATGTGTTGATGAAGAGGGATTAAAAGACTTCACAGTGGAGATTTTAAAGGGTGGTTGAGTAAATACGCCGTTTACTCACAGGTTTAAATTTAGTATATGAGCAGTCCTTAATTGATGCTATCGCTGCGCTCTTTCTACATTCCCACTGTCTTTTCGTGCTTTGTTAAATGTGCATGCTGAGCAGGAACATACTAAGCTGCTAATGAGAACTCCTCTCATGTGTTGTTCTTTTCTTTTTTCTACAGACCGGGAAACCAGGAAGGTGCAAGTCGGATTCCATACGTTTGTGATTGGATTTGAGACTACTTTGACCCTACAAAATTGAAGATGATGTTGCTATGGAAACTGCTGGTGCTGCAGTCACTCATGGGGTGTCTTGCAGGTAAAGTATCTTATTAAGAACTTTTGATGCATGCCAAAGCTGCCTTTGTGAAGTCCTTATTCATATGTATTTGGGGCAAGTGACGGTATGAAAGCCGTAGTTTAGAAAGGAGCAACCTCCAGTAGATTAGCCATAAGCAGACGTATTTTTGCCGCACTGGTGTGAAATAAAAGAAATGTAGCATCTATTCAACAAGGATGTCTTTTCTTTTTTTTAAGTAAGCCATTGTCTGCTAAACACTTCCAATTGCAGGCAATTTTGCATTTTTGACGTCCGCCTTAGTGTTGTATGTGGCACTCAGAAAAGGTTAGCAATATCATCCCGAGTGTGAACGAGGAGAGCTCAGCTCATCCCGGTGGGGATGGAAATATTACTTTTCACATAATGTAGATCATAAATAAGGGCATGATTTTACCAGGAGTGGAAACCTGCAGTAATGATTTGGCAAACCACTGCCTGAAACCTAAATAGCAAAGACATTACACAAATCTTTAAAAAGAACATCACATAAGGGATATTAGATAAGGCTAATGTACTGTACAGTGCTGTCTAATGTTGTTGGATTAGTGTCTATACATATTCCAATGTTATGGACATTATAGGCACGTAATGCAATAATAAACTAACTGAATAAAAAGTTAGACGAATCGACAAGTTACCAAATAATGCTTAATAAATCAATGCATTACTATTTAAGGCTCATAATGTGCTGATGTCAGCACACACATTTAAGGTGCCCTTTGGATTTTGGACCACCAGTAGTGCTGTGGTGCAGTGTTTCTGTGAGTGGGTCTTTGTTTTCACAAATCTTCACAGGAAAGCTTTAATGCTGACCTCGGTGAAAAGGGAATTAGTCTTGATTGTCGACGCGTTTCCATTGTTTGTCATTGTAAAATTAGATATTAAGATTATGCTGCACACTTAATCCAAATACTTCATTGTTCATATTCAACAAGCAACACAATTGTTTTTTTTGTATGTTCCAGAAGGCCCTTTATAAACTATGTTAAACTCATCTGACGACACTAATTAGGCCTGTCAAAATTGATCCCCAATTTTAGTTTCAGTTCGTCACCGATCAATGAATCAATCAGGGATTGAACCAATGAATAAATCGAGCAACAAAATATATTTAAAAAATCCTGCAAATATGTTAGCCACGGTAATTATTCTGTGAAAGAACTGCTGTAAAAGAAGACTAAATTGAGGTTAATTTCTCAAATTGAAAGACGGCACAATAGAGGCAATGAGTGAACAGGAAAATCGTCAATAGTCCATCGTTCATTTCACGTGCAGTTAAGTTGAAAAATAGCTTCATTATACCATGTTGCCCATTTCAGCCAGAGGCTCTCTGGCATTGATCACATTTTGATGGAGGACTTTAATTTGTCTCCTTTACAAATAGGAGGGGTCACCAGAGAGCATGAGTTGAATCACTCAGGCTGTTTAATCAACAGGTATTATACGGATCAAGATGAATAAAAGGCTCGATCTGGTTCTGGCTTCTGATAAAACCCTCCTTTTTACTCGATACACATTAGGCCTGTTGTGAACCCCTTGCCCTCTCGTGCACATTCGATTATCAGATTTGTTTAAATCTCTATATTGCATTGACCTTGTGGTTTCCCCTGCGCCCGTCGCCGTTCATCTGGCTCTAACGATCCCACATGATCGGAGTTGACACCTCATGGAGGTTATTTATGTTATGGAGAAATTCATCAAAGGTGCAAACGTGATCTGACAGCAATCAACAGCCCAGTAATGCAAATGGTTAGTGGACCTTTTTTTTTAAATTATGTATAGTGAAGCGTACTCTCGAGAATCAAATTTTTTGACACAAATAGTCGCCTCCTGGGCGAAAGTCCTGTTTGTTTGACCCATCCTCCTCATGCGGACTTGCAGAGCAAGGTAGCATTAGCTGTTAGCAGCCGGTGGGCAGCACCATCCCGTGAAGCTAAGATTCTTAGCAAAGATAAGTTATAACGTTATCATGATATTTAAATGTAATGTCATTTTTGGGGGTTTCGGCGAGAAACCTGAATAAATAGTCGTTGGAAGGAGATGTTTTCCCAGCAAAAACAATATTAGTAAGGGGCACTGACCTGTGTAACTTCCTAACACTAGCTTTAAGTGTTAATTATTTGGTTTTTGACAGTGGTATCAAATGGTGTAATTTCACTCGTACTGGTATGGACTACTAAATTCCTGGTATGGTGACATATGACAGATCCAGCCCTAAAATTGCGTGATTCTATCTTGAGCAGGAATCCAATATGATTTGGGGCCTTTTTTAATGTGCTCATACCAAGAAGGCCATATCAGGTAATAGCCTCATATCGTATGCAGATTTCTGCAATTATCTTAAGATGAATATTTATCTTCTCTTTAATTGAGGCAGCTTTGATGTGAGAGCAAGAGCAGGTTATACATCATGGGGGAAAAGCTGGTTAAAGATGTAGGAACTGTGTCCTTATTGAACTACAGTGTACAGAACATCCACGAAGCACAGCCGTGAAAGGGTCGCCCCTTAGAATAAAATTGGTTTATCTTCCTTTCAAAATTCACCAGGCATGAACATTTCAGGGATGCATATACTCAGACCTCCAGAACGCTAATGTGTTTTCAGCCGAGCTGGAAATGAACATCATGGAGCATTTCTATATCTTTAAGCTTGAGAAGAGGATTATTGTACTAACCCTCCGCACTTATCAGTTTTGAACAAAACTCACTTTACAATGGATGATATGGCCTGGATATAGATTAGAGAGGTGGCTGAAAAAATTGACTATACTCTGGAAGCAGGAATGGTGCACAATATGCTGCCCTAAAAAGCTGGGCTTCAATACGCTGCAGAGTGCGAGAATGGATTTGCAAGGAGAGCGAACCTCGTACAGGCTTGGGAAAAGGAATCGTACAGATGTTTATTGCAGCTTTAGTAACTCCCCAGGCTGAGGAGTTATACGTTGATTTGTTTTTCATGCACAAATTAATTTAAAAAAAAAGCTTCATAATGACATACGTGCCAGTTGAATCTAAAAATCCAATTACATTTTGGAATTAGTCACCTGCTTGTTCACCAGATGACTGCGTCAACAGAGGCCAATGTAAGACAAAGTGATGAAGGGGGCATTGATTCAATTCTACTGATAACTCCAAAAATAAGTGGAATCCTGTATTTGTGAACCTTGGTGTTACGCTCCTACTTTTGTCCCGATAACATCTTTCACCTCTGTTGGCGATGTGGGACACATGGACTACAAGGACACTGATCGTGTGTTCAACTGCTAGTCAACATAGAAAGAAATCCTTGTGGGTTTTCTAACAAACTACATAGCAAAACATTTGTCTTTGTACATTCTCGTATATATTTAATAGCCGGTCACAGCAAGTTATTAACTAACCACGTCATGATCTTTAATTTATTCGCCTCCTTGACCTATTTCGCCACACTTCTGTGTCCGACTCTGGAGACAGAACTATGCTCTTATTTTACCATCATGAACATCTTAGATGTTATCAGTACATGTTAAACATGACATGTTAATCTAGTCCCTGCAATATGTACATAATAGGTTATACATGAATTTACAACACAATCTGAGCACACACACAGTGTGTGTATGTATGTATGTATGTATGTATGTATGTGTGTGTGTATGTATGTATGTATGTATGCGCCCACTGGCTACACAGTTACAAGCATTGCACATTTCTCTTTCTGTTGTACCTAGAAGTAACAGTTTGTTTTTCAAACATTGTAAATATGTGAAATTGAAATCATTAATCATACAGCAGACAATACACACACAGTGTGTGTTACTTAACAAACGACTAACAAATTGAGCAATTAAACACATCATAATTGAATAACTAAGTTATAATAAATGGTTGGAAGTGTCAGCCTCTTTAATGTTTCACGCTTAAAGATAACTCCCCCCAGCTCACTGCTGGTAGGAATAAGTATGCTAATCCTCTGCGTTATGCATTATCAAATATTTATTCGAATTGTAATGCAGGTATTTGAATATTCATTAAAGAGGATCATATTGGGAACCAAGGGGGATCATATATATTTTTTTTGTTTGCTGAGCACACTTACATGATTTATGCTCATACTTACAATCTCTCCCGGGAACTGTTTGTATGAGGTGTGTGAGTGCGTGTGTGCGTGTATAAGAGTGCGCAGATTGAATCAGTTCATCTTCCGCTGAAGTAAGAGTATCCGCCGATATACATCTCCCATATGTGATATTCACAGGCATTGTTTTATGGAGCCCAAGAAGAGTGTTATTGCTGAGGTAACAACTAAATAAACAATAAACTGTTTTTTGTGAGTCCAGTCTGCAGGAATACGAAAAAATGTCAGACAAAAACCACGGCTATGATGAGATAAATAAGAGTTTAGTTTGGAAATATTACAGCAACACAGGAGACAGGCCAAGAAAAAAACGGAAAAAGAATAATTTAAATTAAATGAATGTGAAATTAGAGAGATGACATTGAAAGCTTCATTACAGTATCTACATTATATAGGAGAATGTACATAAAATATTTGTTTTTATTTCTTTATTATATATATATATATATATGTATATGTGTGTGTATATATATATATGTTTATATATGTATAGGTATGTATATGTATATACAGTGTGTATATATATATATGTATGTATAGGTAAATACATATAAATATAAAACCTCACCTTTGAGCGTTCCCAGGAGTTTATTCTGCCGACCTCACTGTCACTGTGAGGTCTGTGTTTCCAACAGTCTATGGATTAATCAGAGTAACCAGGATATTGCTTCTGGTGAGGGATGTTGAGGTTTTTTCAACCGTCTCAACTGTTTTTTAAATTTGTTTACCACCAGGAGCAGAATTAAGTTTGGCAGAAATCTCAAAAAGGATATTTCAGAACCTCAGCAGTCACAGCAAAATGCTGCTGAAATTGTACAACATGAAATCTTTTCTACGTCCGAGAACACCACATTGAATGATA